GTGTGGCGTGGGTGTGGCAGTTACCTGTGTGACTGTGGCAGAGGGAAGCCGTCCAGGGTCCAGGTGATGTGTGGCGTGGGTGTGGCGCGGGCTTTGCAATTCAGGGACACGGCAGGCCCAGGCTGCAGCGTGTGCGCGATGAAGCGGTGCAGCAACACCGGCGCCGAGGCTGCAAGAATTTATTATTTGTCCCAAACTAACGATGCCACCTTAAAATGAGTTCATTTTAAAGGCATCGCACACCTGATTCTCAAGATCTGATATCAGATTCTCAAAATTTTCCATCGAAGATTTCATTTCGTAAGCCTGGTTTCATAAGCAACACATCCCATGCAATTGACCGCTGAGCACCACCATGGCATGCGCGTGAGCGACGTCGCGCGGCACTGATACGCGCGCGCGTCCGTCGCCAGGGCGGACTGCGCGCGGTCCTCCAACACGCGGTGTCTTCCGTCGCTCCTGGCGGTCAGCAGGGCGAGGGTGCGTACAGGGAAGCATGATTGGGGCACAGGTAAAAGCCGTGTAACGCACATCGTAGTGTTTGTGATGAACCTATATGGTAAATTACCGATATTTGAAACCATGGTAACTACTACCCTTATTTTAGTTAATTACTTATCAATTACCTACTCTTTGAGACCAATACGCTTATAAACAACGCTTTTAAAAGTTAATGAGAGGAAAATGATGATCCACCTGGTACAGCATATCGAAGTTTCTCTTTTCACAGCAAAGCACTCCAGCTTATACACAAGAATAATCATGTGATAGTAGCCTAGCTTAGATAACTCACTAATGTTACGTTTATATCAAGTTTGACAATAATTAGTTCGTCGTCAAACCTCTCCCTATTTGTTTGAACATCGTGCAACACATCACATACAACGGAGTCAGTGATTGTGTGTGATGACATACCGTTTTCCGTTGACATATATATCAGAATACGTCGGGCAGTGATAGGCTGTTAGTTAACAGAAAACTCACCGAAAGTATCTGTCGTCTTTGTATAATAGTACATCAGATAACGTGAAGCCAGTGACTATACATAATGATTCACTGTATGGGCTAGCTCTTAGTATAATATAATCGCACGTCAGATATCTGGAAGCGAGCGACTGTACATGAAGACTCACTGTATCGGGCTGGCGTCTCTGCACCACAGTACATCAGATATCAGAAAGCCAGTGACTGTACAGCGTAGTTCCAGAATTTCGCCCACCATCACCTCTGTTACCTCAGGCGTCACCTGAAGCGCAAATAAATCCCAGTGGGTGACCAAGTTAATTGAATTGATTATGTAACAATTTTTGCATCCTCAAACCCCAAGATCCATGAAAACTTTCCGAAATTACAAATGAGTTATATGGAAAATTATTTCGTAAGCTCTTTATAGATGCTCATAAAGATTTATTGAACCATACTTACACTCTGTAGAAAAGAACTACATTACTTTCGATAGGACCTGTATCGAATCTTTCCATACATTATTGCGAAAGGAAGTTACAGAAATTAGTTACTAAAGCAAGGACCGAAAAATGTGCGACCAATAGACTGCAATGATAAGGTTCCCAAATAAAAATTACGGATGATGAATCGATTATTATAGGTGGCTATCGTAGATTAAAGGTGGCGTAACAGTGGGTGATCACATCTGCCAAAAATCGAGCGTAAAACATCAAAAAATCGAGTGGGTGGCGATTATAGGTAGCGGTTATCGAGCGAGCAAGTACACGTTCACGATCGTATCTGTTGGGTTGGTTGGGTTGTCACGCGTCGGCGTTGAGCTTGTTTCATACTAGTTTTTACAAAGTTCTGATGAAATATTGAAATATATGCTTTCCGGGCAATTTTTTTCGCTAAAATGTATCATCATTACTTAGAGGGCTACGAGTGAAAATTCGGTTTTCCATCGCTGACATCGATAGTGAAATTTAATTATCTATGAGAAATATGCTTATACCGTCAGATAATTACTTTCAGTTTAAGTCTACATTTCTGATAGTGTTGATCTCGGTATCTTCCCTACGCAAAAGATCAGATTAGGCTAGAGAAAAATGGTGACGCGAAATGATGAAGGTACATCACGCCTAATATTTAAAAATCATCTAGTGATATTAATTCCTTATTTCATGGAAGAATAGTGTTGGCGAAAATATATCAAAATTGATGCAATGTTTACACTATGAAACTTTGATACTAATCAAGCATTTTTCAGTTTTAAGTCTGAGATGAACCATCGTTTGTTACGGATAAACGAAGTTCCTTTCAACGGCAGTTTACCGTAATATAGTTATATATCAGCATGTTCGAATAAAATGGTTAATGGAACCATCTAATCATCACGGTGGTAGCATTAACATGTCATTTGATGAAATTAATTCTTGGAATATTCCAATTGAATCTCTTAAAAGTACTCGAGTGCCAAGTCCTATCCGATGACTCAGCGGTAGAGGCTTAGCATCGTGCGAGGAAGATCGGCGTTCAAATCTTGCAGGCAGGAGTCGATTTCTAGATATTATCCTATCAAACTATTAGGATAATAAACTAAACTAAAAATTATTTTTTAATAGGATATTATCCGTTATGAAGACTATTTTTATGAAGGCGATTATGTATGCTACTAACTAATGATATTAGACTAAACTAGATTTGAATTTTTTGGCGTTAATTTGAAAATTTCCGGACATTATAAATATTAGGGTTAAAAGCGCGATTTTCGATGAATATATCACGTAAATAATTCCTATATTCGACATTAAACCATAACGCATTCACACTGAAATTTTGTTTTCGTCCATGATCAACCAATATTAGAGTGAAGAAGATGTCAAGAAATCTGAACAGATTTCTTGACATCAGCACAGATCTTCGGCAGCACACCTACTACAACTTAATGTATTTTTCGGTTCCTTGAATAATAATAAAAGCTAAATAAGTCATGAAAAAAGTACATTACAGAACACGACGACATGTGCTATGGAAGCTTTATTTTTAGAGTGCTATGTTCTTCTCGTCATTACGGTAGCTTATGCTCATGATAGATTAGTACAAGGTGTATTTCAATGAATAATCCAAATGCGTATGATCATGTCATTTTCTATTTGACCAATCAACGAACTGTTGGAAGAAGCAAGCTCCGAAATTTTAATTGATTTTTGCAATGTATTATGAGGGTGCTATCTGATTCAAACAATCAATTTATTCGCGATAAAAAAACTTCGTGACCGGTGGAGTGGCCGCACTGGACAAAATGACATTCAATTTATGTCCAGCCTCGAATGTTACATGACGTTAGTGAATGTGATTGAAACTATCAACAAAAATGGATGATTTGAGAAACCGCATAACTACAGCCCTGGAATATACCAGGACATGCTCACTAGGCTGGAGCGATAAAATCTATTAGTTTGCTTAAACCAAGTCAAAAAATTAGCACTTTAGATGTTACGGTGTTCGGAATATAGACATGAAAAATAGTGAGATTATTTTTCGAAACAGTGAAATCACTGATACACTCTGTATATAGGTCTAATGTTCGAAATTTAACCGTATTTTTCATTTCGAGATATTCATAGAAAATTTATATTTCCGATAAAACATTTCAGCCTACAGGAAATGAATTATTACCCGCTTTTGCTGTGATGTGCATTATAAGTCGTCGAATTTTTAGTTCCCGTTGATTAGCTTATCTCGTGTTGCTTAGGTTACCACGAAAACTATATTAATTCACACAATTTCAGAAATTTGTATAGCTCTTTGACCTCATATACGATTGAGAAAGCACTGTAAACAATCATTGCAGCACGAAAACCCAATACTGCATACAACCATATAGTGTGATTTCACAACAAAGATTTTATAGTGAACGGCACCTGGAGCAGCTTTCTGAACCTGAATGTAAGAAACAGTCGGTCTCTTCCCTCAAAATTTAACTGATTAAAATTGGACACCTCGTAGTCGGTACGGTATAACATGACGTGTGAACTAACTAATGAAATTATTCCACTTAAACATTGAATATTGAACCAAGACTTTTTAAAACGATTTTTTTTATTTCCGTATATTTTCATTACGGATATGTATAGTTTTTAATTTTTGATTTGATTGAACGATTTTTGAACGAAGTATCTTGGAGCGGCTTGCTTCCTCCATATCTACACCGATGCAGTTCATCCGTCCTTCATGCAGTAGGGTGGGAGACCAATTTCAGTTTTTGAACACTATTAAATGCACGGAAGAAATTGTAAATTTTATTGCAGATAGTCGTTGTTAGAGCTCGGCCACATTTGACTCAACATCAAAATTGTATGCGCGTAACTATTTTGTTTCTGATTTTTAAACGTGGAAACGAGTTGTAGGTGTGGGTGCAGACACGGAAAAACGCCCCTGGACAGGATTAAGCAGAGCGAGTCTGGCGGTAACCATGCATGTGTAAGCAGATATCATGGCTCTAAATGCAAGTGGAAATCATCCCTGCCACTTGCATCTTGAAAACTCCCTCCGACATGTTGATAAGTAGTCTTTCATTTTATATGCCACTGTTGTAGTAACATTGAGAAAACAAAAACAATTATCATAGTAACCACCAAACAATTAACGAATTCAAATGAACGCAGATTAAACTATCCCAGAAATTTATCGATTTGAAGCTATATGGACCTGTGACTAAATCATTGTCAGGACCGCATACAATTCTTTGTAGCCTGGAAGATGATGCGCGAGAACTATTCTCAGACAATTGGGGGCGAGAAAGATTATACGGTGGTGAAGCTGTGGTACATGGCCGCAATAAATTAAAGGGAGGGGGAATAACCAATGACAGCCCTCTGAAATGTTCAACTCCAATGTGCTGATGAGAAGTTGAGGCGTATGCGTTCAAGACTTACAGAAATGAGGAATTAAAACGCAAGCCTGGTAGCGGGTACGCTGAAAATTGCATCAATAATAAGTCATTAAAAGCCGAGCATCATCAATTCGTCAGGGGTAAGGAAAGCACTATCTCAGGTTCTCGTGTCTATTTAAATTAGTTGCCTTCATACATCACCCGAACATTTAAAACTACACTGTGCAAGATTCGAAAAAAGTTTCAACAATTTCAAATCTATCATCTTTGCCGGAAGGACCCAGAAGTTACATATTCTCCAATCTATTGATAAAAATTCACTGAAACGTGTAAGACCACCGGCATATTAATACTGAATCTTCTTATAAAAGTTCAAATAGTAGACAATCAATGAGAAACTACCTAAAATCATAATATTTAAAATCAACAACCATCACTACGACGATGATTGTATAACAGCGCATGCTGTCACATTGTAATAGGCGATGTAAATTCAGACAGTTAATTAGTACAATTTGGATATGAATTATTAAAATAGCTTGACGCGGAAAATAATTGGAAGGCGTTTTATCCAGATGCCGACATTTCAAGCTACTTGAACCTGTAGCAGCTGACAAGAGTTACCTACATTTAAAGATCAGCAAGGCAAAATTTAATTATAAAAATTTTAATAAAATCCAAATACTCTAAACAAGAGAAGTCTCTTATTAAAGTTACTAACGAAGGTTAATTACGACACCTTTATGTGTCGGCTACATTAAAACTGAAGTGGAGGGCGTTATAAGTCACAACAAGAATAAAAACTACTAAGTAAGGCGTAGTAAGGTTGACGCATTCAAAGTTCATCCTAGAAGTGACAACAGTTTTCAGATCTTCCATTAGGAACATCCGTGCTTCCTCTAACCGTTGCTCCAATCCTTCCCTATTTTCAAATAATCTATAAACCAATGAAAAGTGATGGTACACGAGTCTCATTATAGTTGTTCGTTCATACCGGTTCAGAACCACTGCAGCGGCGTCAATATTAGGGCACGATCGCTCTATTTCTTGTACCAAGAATCTTAATATTTGCCTGAACGTTTTCCATGACGCGGTTGCCAAAAGCTCTTTGTCAGCAGGGATGACCTGATCATTATTAGACCTGAAGATCATTCTCGTGTTCTCAATTACATTTAGAAAGTTGGCGATATCAACAACACTAAGGTTTACGATGAAAGAAGAAACTTCTTTGAACTTTATGTCAACCAGAATGTTAGTGTGAGTTGTGTTGTTGGCCGAATAACCAGGTAGAAGATAGTGCAATGTTGCGTATAGGCGATTTGTCGACTCTGTGACAAGGCGATTGTAAGTTCTATCAATTGATAAAGTGGTAGTTAAATGCCTTAGGTTAATTACCGTCTTACTTCCATAAGGCTGAATCGTGTAATTTTGAAAGTCTACTTTAGCTGCCGTCAGATCAATCCCCGATACGTGTATCTTCATACTCGTCCCAATGACCGCCGGATGACAGCATGCAGCGAAGTACAAAGTGAGGCTGTTTTTGTCGTAATGTGAAAACAGAAGAGGATTCTTGCTTTTGTACCCGTCCAGTACTTCGCGGTCCGAGATCATGTCTTGGTCAGTGTACTTAGAAATCTGAACAGGGAAAAAATTAGTCACGAGTTTACTAGAATGTTCAAAGATTATACATACAATTTTCTGATTAGACATCATTCCATCAACAAATCTAATCAACTACGTGAATTTCGAAAACTCGATTTGAAGAATGTACAGAATAGTGAAGAAGACTCAATTTAAACACTATATAAAATTTCAAACCAGAAATGGTTTCCTCAACGTATGTTCGGCAACGATGTCGTGCACCGTGACTAAAGGTGCTTTGTACACGGAGACAGTACTGGCGGCAAGTAGATCAGAAAAGTGCCAAATGTCTGCCCCTTGGTGTCTATCTCGCAAATAAGCTCAGACACGAGCTTTAGGGCCTCCGTGCCGGTAACGACTAGGTTTCGGCACGGCGGCATCTTAAACTTGCCTCGTGTCTAAGCTTACCTGCGGGATAGACACCAAGCGGCAGACATTCGACACTTTTCTGATCTACTAGCCGCCAGTACTGTCCCCATGTAAAAGCACATTTAGCTTCCATTTAATGCGGGTCAAATTAATAGTACGTTTGATTGTCAGGATCCATTCCACAAGGATAAAATTTTCTTTCAACACAAGTATTTTGCTTCAAGGAGTCAATAAACTGTCAGCAAGTTCGAGGTAAGACTCTACGCTTTTTAGGTTGTGATACTCTTTATTAGTTTGGTACTCGAAGCATTGTAACAATGCTTTTTACACTCCAACAAATTTCCTATCATATGCAGAATAATCAATTCAATTTGAATTGGAAACCAAAGAATTTAACAGCATGGCTTTGCAAAGCCAGCACAGGGACGAGGAATTTTTAAATGTGACTTGCTAAAGTAGGAGTGTCTTTTCTTGGAGATAACACTGTACGCAGAAAAATTCTTTCAATTTTTCACGCAGAACAGAATACTAACTCACCGCTGATTGCTCCATGCTGTAGGGTTCGGTTAGTCGTGTCGAATCAAACTTTACTTAATCCACTAACTTTTACGTCTATATAAACTATTCTATTTAATATATATTGAAAATTACTATAGTTAATTTCGAGCATAAAATTAATAAAATATCTAGAAAAAGAAAAAATTCTTGCATTCGCACGATTAGGTGGCCATAAATCAATTCTATCACATATTCTCTCCTACCCTTCGGAAAAAAACTTCCTTCACAATCGGTAAATGTATATAATTTAATCATTCATCCTCTTATTCCTCCCATTCACCATGATTTGCAAATGCCACATATTAGAGTAAAATCAGAAGTTTTCAACTCGACGAAATCAATAAACTGACATGACTAGGTAAATTAACCATCGCCTACTTCCAAAAGCTGCTTGAATCATCACTGATGAATAACTGATAATGTATTCAATATGAATTAAAATTTAATTCACCATACATGCACTCTTAAGTAGCAGATTTCCAGGATGTCTATCTCAGCCTCAGGCCACTGAATCCCAGGCCTACACATTGATCAATAGTATATATTTTCTATACTAGATACAGTAAACAAATTTAGAATTCCAAGAGGACTACAGCATAATTGATAATCATGCGCAAAGAACAGCTTCTTAAAATCTTAAATTCAACTGATTTCGCAAAATAGGCAACACTAAACGAACAAATGTAAGTATTGCATACACGTGAGGTGGCAGGTCCACCTCGCGCACGCAAATCACCACCCGCTTTCTTCAACTTCTAGTTGAAGTTTTAAGGAAGCTTGGACGACGCGTCCATGTAGCCCAGAAACTTGAAGCAGTCGCGCGTGCAGTACAATATGCAGCACCAACGTCGATCTCACGGCTGGCTCTGTAGTCGGCTATCCGCAACCACCTTGATTGGGTCATAGGTGGTGTCTCTCTTTTTCTACAACGGATTATCAAATATTGCCATGTATATTAATTAAACTGTTATTCCTAGCACGCGAATTAGAAGAAAATAATTACGAAACCTTATAAATTTAATTAACGCTGGCAAGCACATTTGTTTCAACTCAAATTTAAATTATTAACCCAGTTAATGAATATCTTCTACCGATACTTTTTGCGCGATTCAAATCTATGATTTAATATATTAAAAATTTTCCCAATTAGCCCCTCTTTATAGACCTGCAGAAGTCTTATCATCGTTCCCTACGTCCAAAGAGAGACCCATAATATTTTTATAATGGAAGTGGCAATACGATCACATGTTAGCCCGAATCACAAATTTATCGAGAATTTAATACCGAAGAAATTTTTCATTCGATAAGTTGAAATTTTGAGTTTACATTCGTGTCTATTTTTCCGTAGCTATGCTATTTATTAATAATTTTAGCTGAACTTTCAACGTAAATTTTTGTTCCCTTGTTCATAAAAATTTGAACCTATGAAGGAGCTGCTAATCGATAACTTTTTATAACAAATATTGATAAAACCTCTTGCCAATACGTAAATAAGGGTAACCATTCGATAAAGTCAGTTTAAACCTATTAATTGATAAATTCGAAAGAGAGTACAACTATACCTACTGGTTTTTCAATTATTACTTTACGCGAAAACGCGCCCATTTCGTCTATCATCTGTTTATATACTGTATATATACCGAAGCCTACACTAGCTGTTAGAAAAAAACGGTCGGTCCGGCGTTTTAGTAGCCGGTCGTAACGTGAAATGAAGCCTAGTCAACGTTTGTTTTTCAGAAGTGTACATATGAAATACGAACAATCATGGTCGAATTTCACGGGACGGCCTGCCGCTAAAACACCGGTACTGCCGATATTTAATTTTTTTCCGAACAGCGTACATTGATGCGATACTCTAAATAAATATCAGCTTCTGGACGAACAATCGTTTGGTGCTTCAAGGTAGACAGGAATTTTCTTTCCGTCAATTGCTTGGATCTGAGCGCAGATCAGTTTGGCATCAAACTTGTGACTTCAAACTGCTGAACTCATTTCCTTGTAGCGCATCTTGACTGAAAAAGTATAACTCAGTACTCACTGCAGTAAGTGACAGAGAGCGCATTTTCTCGTCGACGAAAACGTGAAGTCACGGACGGACAAACAGACAGACGGAAATGACGAGCACAATAGCTCCTTTTTTCCATATAAATGAGAAAATGCGCTAAAAATAGATACGTAAGGGGAGCGTCAGAATAAAAAAATTTAATTACTGACGTATCATTTTGAAACTTGGTAATCATATGTAAAACAGAAATCTGAGACTTTTGTTCATGCGAATTTTTTGAAAAAATGAAAGAAAACGTGACATTAAAAAAACGCAAAAAAGGGGGGCATTGCATGTAAAATAACTACCTCCTCATTCAACTAACGTGCTACAACATCGAGAGACTTATCATTTGATTCGTAAAAACCATATCTATAGCAATTGACCGACAATTTTTTCCAAATCTTTTTTAGGGTGGGGGCGGATTTTAGATTTTTCCCAATTTATGCCCCCCCCCGTTTTTTCAATATATAATTCAACCTATAACGAAATAAAAAAAGTGACCGAATGCTCGCTAGATTTTTTAAAGAATCGAATGGTAGGTATATCTCTCAATACTGTAGCTTGAAAAATCCTAGGAATTGATAAATTTTTAAGAAGTTATTTTTTAAATTTTAATTGTTCAGGAGAGCCCTGCAAATAAGTATCTCTGCAAATAAGTAAAATTTATCGAAAAAATAATAAAATCTCAAAAAATTGCTAGATACCGCAGCCCCAGCTTTCCTATTACCAATTACTCGTATTGAGGATACCATGCATCGCGCGTCTTTAGACTTATTACTGTCAAGTTTAATGCGAATAATAAGCTATAAATGCGATTTTCCTGATATATATATTCCGATTAAATGGTCATTTTAAAAAAGTTCAAAACGGCCTAGCGCAAAAAGTCTTGCATGTACATCATTGGTATTTGCTTTATTGAACGCGTCTTGTTTGTAGCTTTCAAATGAGTTCAAACATTTTGCAATTAAAGCGAATAATGATCTATAAATACCGTTTTTAAAATAAAAATTGTTAAAAATGGTTACAAAATAGTCATTTTATAATAGTTAAAATCAGCATAACGCAAAAAATATTGCATGTAAATCCAAGGTTGTTTCCTCATTGAACGCGTCTCGTATGCATCCTTCAAACGAGTGCAAACACTTTGCAATTAACGCGAGTAATAATCCATAAATACAGATTTAATTAAAGAAATATTTATAAACAATAGTTATAAAATGTTGACTTAATAAATGTTTTAAATGGCCTCACGAAAAAGCATGAAAGCTACACCACCACGATTTGTTGCAGCCGCTTTGTAATAATTCTCCCTATAAAATGAGATGAAAACACAGAAAATGTAATTCCTTCGTTTTTTATCCAGACGCTTCTCTTAAATAGGACAAACCCACACGGTTGCACAACAGGAACAATTCGCCTCATGGATGTGGTTTATCGAAACAGTATATAACCGAGAGGTAAGTTTACATCGACATCTCTATCCTAATTAATTTAATACATTCATTTTACGCTGTACACAATAACTCAAGATAGATCACAACAAAGCTGCATGAAAAAATATCCACGCTGAAATGCAGAGACAATATCATGTTTCAACTCCAGCATAGCAACACTTAGTTAGAAAGCCCTCGATCAGATTGCAGAGCGAACATTAGGATTGTGCAAAATTTACAGCATGTCGATGGAAGCAGAACGTGTATAATGTATTTACTAGCTTGCAATAGTTGCAAGCCACTCCGAGGGAGGTCATAACAGTCAAACAGTTTGTCAAGTCCACATAGAGACTATAAAAGTGACTCAGTTGTTGCTTAGTTAAAAAATTCTCTAATATCTTAGGGAAAATGTCGGTACGCAAGGTCCTATGTACAGAGGTCAATACCGATGGAAAGTTGTAAATGGTAAGGTGGAATCAAATATTGTTCAATCGATAATTTCCTGCATGGAATACTGTTATAGTCGAGCTCAATTAGAAGAATAACATGCGAAGCAATTATATGACCTGACAGTTGTTTTTTTGAGTTCCACTTCTAGTGTGTTCCACTTGGCAAGTGTAAGGATGCAATTTTTCGAAAAGAGTATTCATCAGAAAATTTCCGCCCTGATGCTGATTTTCATATTATTTATGGAATGAATTATGAGCATCTTTCGGGCATCTACAGAAACGTAGATCAGGAGTAATTAAGAAAAGAATGCAGAATCTCTTTCGGTGTGAATTCTAAATGGTAAGAACAGTGGACTTAAAGTAGGGAAGTTTCCAATTTTATGCAAAAATTTTACAGTAAAACAGAATACTCAACTTGTAAGACGCAAGATATTTTATAGCTGGATCGTAATATGATTGAACACTTCAATCCAGCTATAAAATATTTCAATGATATGATTGAACACTTCAATAGGCTGCAGGTCACTTTGGCGCAGATGTTACGGCTTCATGCCTACGAGACTGATGAGAGGATGGATTCTCCTGTCAGAAGCCTTCCAAGGCAGGAGTTCTGGGAGCCCTCATTAATTTAGACGACGAGGCTGCACGGAGAGGAAGCCTAGCAGAGTTCGGGACTCAGAGCCCCGAAATCTACAAGCTGGACGCAAGTAAATGCTCTCTATGGAAGTATATTAACTTTGTACTGTAGGTAGGAAATAATTTAAGCTGCCTAATGCCTTGCTGGGCAGAAACTAATGGACTTCCAGTGCAGGCGGCGTTGTTATAGCTGCCGGAGATGTCGTGATGTGCAGTGCACAATAGACTCCGAGAAATTGTTGTATAACGTCTTCCTGTTTCAGAAGCTACGGTTTGCTTGACCAAAGACTTGCTAAAATGAGAGTATTCCTGCATTTAAAGCCACTGTAGTTAATTAGAAACTTCATCCTCATCAAAAGAATGTTGATTTTTTCTGTTACGTAATAGGAGCGTGTTTTCAACTATCATTGGAAGAATCTTTAATGGTAATTGAAATAATTCAAATTATTACCACAATGCAGTAAGAAACTAAAAAAAATACTCGCGACCATGTCTTCGTGGAAGAGTTTATTCTCAAACTTATTTTAGTTTAGTATCGACGTCTGCGTGGG